TATCAAATGAGAGGTAAAGATACAATCAAGGACATTGGGAACTGGAGTAAGAAGCTGTCAGAGTAAGATTAATGAGGGCTTTTGCTGTGAGATTTCTTGGAAATTTTGGGGCAAGGGTTTCTTGAGAAACTGGAGTGGTTAGTTTCATGGGATCAGTATTTGTGATTGTATTGGCCTTGCACATCTATTGCTGACCTCTTGATGGGAAAGGGAGGGGAGGGGATCTTTTGGTGAAATAATAGTAGGCCTTTTCTCATTCTTGTAACCAACGATACAAGTAAAGGCCACAGATAAAATAAACCAAGAAACCATCAGCTCATGCACAGATAGAAGTCACTAATTTTCTAGTCCATGTTTCCTGCTTGTGAGTGAGTCTAGTACACTGTTATAGTCAATCTTTAGCATAAAATTGGAAAATGAAAATGAGAAAGAAAATGAACAAGAAAGGGACAAGGCAGATCAGATGCAATTAGTTCCGAATACAAGGGAATGAAGTCTGTCAACTGATGACAACCTCCTCCAAAAAATATACAGAGAAAAAGACAAGATATCTTTATGAAGTTCCACACTTTCTTTCCATTTCCTTTTTCAGTAAAAATATTATTTAGGGGGCATAGAGTCACATATATTTCATCAAAAATCTGATTTAATGAATATGAATTCTACTATTTTGAGTACTAGTTCAATTCCATGGTTACTTAGTCCAATCCATTGACCAGCCTATGTCCACCAGACAATGATATGAAATAACAAGCTTAGTATATCATTTTGTATGAGCCAGTACAAAAAGATGATGTGTATGGCAGGAAATTGAGCTTACCGAGAGATCTGCTATCTTGTCAAAATCATCATCATCCAAGCCTCCATCACCATCACCATCCTCTGAGAGACCAAGTAGATGATTAGTGGATCCAAGTAGTTGGTGAAAGTATGAAACATATAAGCTGGTTTCAAAAGTTGATGCTTTTTCAGATCAATGTTACAGGTTTCAAACAATCCTTTTTATAAAGGGGGAGGATACAGCTTAAATGTGTTGGCATGTGTAAATGTGCACCTGTGTGCAAGTGTGAGAACATGTGCTTTTTTTTTAATAAAAAAAAGATTCCTAGGCAAAAGACTTGCTAGTAATTTTCACACGCAGACAATACAAATTATCATTCTGAAAAAGAAACAGCAAAACAAAACAATGTACCAGGGCCTTCATCACTGTCACCACCCAAAAGAAATACATCCAAATCTTGCTCCGTAGATGAGGTTGATGTTTTTATCTTTGCCTCATGTTTAGAAGCCATTTCAACATTCGAAGGTTCCTTGACATTTTTATCATTTGCTTGTTCTGCAGATTTTTGCTTTTCTTCCATGTACTGCTTCTCATGACTAAAAGAAACCAAGAGTTTGCCCAGTTTATTGCAAGTAAAACGAATAGAGACCCAAAACCCAAATAAACAGAATATCAGTATAAGAGAATTGCAAGGTACCATTGAATCCAGATCACATCATGTACAACTACAACCACATAATCAGATCCAGATCACATGTATATAGAACAACGTAATTAATCATTGTTGACTATGTATAAGCATGAATGCATATTGATCTCACCAAACTAATTTCAATAAGATCAAAACAAAATAAATTAAATAATTGTATTTCTAGAGCTATACTCATGTAATGCAACCATGACTTTGATAAACATTTTGAACAAACTAAAAACAGATGAAAGGTTCCTTACGGTGCAACATGACTGTTTACTAGCATGAAGTATATCCTCCAGAACTTCCTTTCTTTCATTACACGGGGGCATAGCTCATATCTTAACTTTGAAATTTCCTGAAAGAGTGCGTAAAGACAAGTTGCATACATTTATAAATAGAAAATCCCAAGAAAATTACAAAATTAGTTATTTCAACCATCAATTATAAGCTGATGGGTAAAGAAATGTTTGCCATTGCCGTGCTCATGCATGACCTACTAAACACATAAAATCATTTTCAAGATTCATATGAAATAAGATCACATTTCATCATTCAATCTCTTATTTGGGAATCCACATCAGTTATTCAGAGTAGAGAAAGATTGCATCATGCAATAAGAACATATGATTCAACTATTGTTGCATTTTGCCTCCAATTAAAAATCAAGTATCAAAAAGCCATGCAAAAATAAATCATATTCAAATAGTTTTTTAAAGTTGATGCAACCTAGGATAAATTGATGGATCATGCAAAGTAATATGTTGTGAGTGCATTGGAGAGACATATACTTTTTATCATGCACTGTCTTGTATGATAATTTCTCCATCATTAGTTCTCTACATTCTTGGGTTAAAATCATTTGACCTGCCACAACTCTTCTCCTAAACATCCCAAGGTATTCTAACCAACATCTCCGACTTGAATTTGCATCAATCTGGAGAATCATTTGTAGGAGACCATAATTTATTTTTCTATGATTCCCAAAAAGGATTAAGATTGTGAGGATGAAATATGCTGAAAAATACAAAAAACCAAAAGAAGGAAAAGATAGGAAGAAGATGAAACATTAATGCAGTGGGCTCCTACTATCCCATGGTTCATTGAATAATTTTTTTTCTTAATGAAGAAAGGCTCAAGGTGTTGCCTCTTGGGCCACTATAATTCAGTTAATTGCACTTGTTCTGTATTGGAATCACTTATTATAAGGGAAATAAAGATATCATTATTGGGCCAAACATGGATATTGTTATTGAACAGTGTTAGTAGAGTAAAATGAAGAAAGCCACCTTGACTGTTGAAAGGACAAGACTGCAATGTTTTACTTGCCACTCTGTGAGGTCCTGACTAACATTTGAGGCTGTGGGAACATCAGATATTGGTGAATCATCTGTCAATCAAATAGATAACCCAATCAACTAGCAATTTAAACAATTTAAAAGTACCAAAGGAAACCGCCTATGTCCCAAACACATTTTGAAGAGCACATTCTTGCTATTCAGAAAAATCTTATGAAACACTTAATCCACTTCCAAGAGCAACAAAATGGAACTTCAGAAAACTGCATCAGTGAACTGAAGTGCCCCAGGGAACACCTTTTTCCAGCAATATTTTAATAAAAAAATTAAAGCTAATCAATCCAATTGAGTTAACGCATCTAAATAATTACTTCACTTTGTTGCATACTAAACATGTAGGTAGTAGCATGAAAAAATATAACAAATATGAAATAAACATGCCATTTCATTTTTCGTTATTCAGCATTTCAGATTCTATTGAAAATCAATTAGTTTAGCCAAATAATCACCTCACTCCTTACACCTAGACAGATGAAAACAGCAAAATTAATCCAAGTTGAAATTTGAATTTATATAGAGCGACTATTGTACTTGAATTAGTTTCAGAAAAAGAAATAATTGCCTAGAAAAGAACCAAGATTTTGTTTTATCATACTGGATAGGCAAAAGCTTCAGATCCCTTCTTCATGCCCTAAGTTCCCCACATTTCCTATTAAGCGATCAGATTATGGACTTAAAAGAAACTCTGGATTCACTTTCCTCACATTTCCTACTAAACGATCAGATTATGAACTTAAAGAAACTCTGGATTTACTTTCCTCTACCTCTACCTCTACTTTCTCAACGTCCAAACGCAATGCACAAAATTACATTATCTAAAACGAGGGTGAGAAAAGGGATCAAGTATTACCTTGAAGAGGAAAATCCTGAAAAGTGCTGGCAGTAATCTCCTTAATAAACTCTCGCAATTCTTCCGTAACACCAAACTTCTCCAGATCTTTCTCTCCTTCCTGCTGCGTATCGACAGGGACAATCCCGTCGGAGAGCGAGGACTTGATGAGATCCGCACGCTTGGCCGCTTCAGCTCTAATCTGCTCGGCTCGCTTCGAAGCCTCGGCAGCGATCTCCTTTGAACGCTTCGACGCCTCAGTAACGATGTCTCCTAGCTTGGTCGAGCCGATTGTCAACTCAGACGACCTCCTCGCCGCTTCCTTGGTGAGCTCCTGAGACCGCCTTGACGCCTGAGTCACAATGTCTCCTAACTTCGCAGAACCGATCGTCAACTCCGACGACCGCCTGGCCGCTTCCATCGTCAGCTCCTGTGACCGCTTAGCGGCTTCCTCGGCGAAGCTTCGAGCCTTTTGCCAAAAGTCCATTAGCAGAAACACAAGTATGCTGAACTTGATCACTGATTGCGTTTGTGTCGTTCGTATTTTGCTGCCGCTTCTCCTCTCCTGTTATTGAGTGGAGGAGAAGCTATTGAACACCGTAAAGAAGGCAGAGTCTGAATCTGATGGGATCAGGCATTTCCGTAATTTCATTGATGGGTGGTGTATAACTTTATATATCACTTTTTTATATAATTTTTATATATTATTAAATTAATAAATAAATTTAAAATTAAAATTTTATATAAATTAAAAAAATTAATAATTTAATCGATCCGTGTGATTATATAAAAAAATAAATAAATAATTATACAAAAATTATTTTTCTTTCATTGATATGTTTTTAAGTATTTTTCGCATGTCCACGTAGGATCACTGGGGAATGACTCTGCAGCAAAGCTGGCATATAAGGGTATGGTTATCAATTATTCTTTTATTTAGTTTAAATTATATTAAATTATAAAATTAAAATTTTTATAATTAAAAAAAACTTAATATTAAGAGTTTTTTTTTAATTTAATAATAATTATTAGACACTTTAATACAATTTAAATTATAAGATAAATTTTTTTAATGATAGTATCATGCAAAATGTCTAATGACTTTTTATAGATTTTGTGTTTAAATTTCTTCAAATAATCAATAAATATTTTATTATAATTTATTTATAAGAGTGAAAATTAATTCATACTTTTATTTAGATATATAATATTATAGATAAATTTGAGAAAAAAATTTTAATT